GTCACGGCGTACCAGTGTAAATTCCACATCTGTACCAGTGATCCACATCTGTCACGGTGTACCAGTGTAAATTCTACATCTCTACCAGTGATCCACATCTGTCACGGCATGCCAGTGTAAATTCCACATCTCTACCAGTGATCCACATCTGTCACGGCATACCAGTGTAAATTTCACATCTGTACCAGTGATCAGCATCTGTACACGGCGTACTAGTATAAATTTCACATCTGTACCAGTGACCCTCATCTGTCACGGCATGCCAGTGTAAATTTCACATATGTACCAGTGATCCACATCTGTCACGGCGTACCAGTGTAAATTCAACATCTGTACCAGTGATCCACATCTGTCACAGCATACCAGTGTAAATTCCACATCTCTACCAGTGATCCACATCTGTCACTGCATACCAGTGTAAATTCTACATCTGTACCTGTGATCCACATCTGTCACTGCATACCAGTGTAAATTCTACATCTGTACCTGTGATCCACATCTGTCACAGCGTACCAGTGTAAAATTCTACATCTGTACCAGTGATCCACATCTGTCACGGCATACCAGTGTAAATTTCACATCTGTACCAGTGATCCACTCTATTTTTTGTACCAGTGTAAATGCACATCTGTACCAGTGATCTACATCTGTCACAGCATACCAGCATAAAATCCACATCTGTACCAGTGGTCCACATTTGCCATGGTGTACCAGTTATCATCATATCTGTACCACTTATCCACATCTGTCACAGTTGTACTACCCAGTTAAAATAACATCTGTACCAGTGATCCACGTCTGTCACGGTGTACCAGTGTAAAATTCACATCTGTACTAGTGATCCACATCTGTCACTGGTGTACCAGTGTAAAATTCACATTTTATTAGTGATCCACATCTGTCACGGTGTACCAGTGGTCATCCACTTCTGTACCAATGATAAACATCTGTCATGGCCTACCAGTGTAAAATCCAGAACACAGTTTACCAGTGCTCAATATCTGTCACACAGTACTAGTGTAAAATCCACCACACCAGTATCAGTGAATAACATCTTTCACAGTGTACCAGTATAGAGTATCATTGTCAAATCCACATCTGTACCAGTGATAAACATCTGTACCAGTGAACATCAAAATCAACATCAACAATATCAACACTGCAGCAGCATAAATATATCTAAAAATGTATACACCAGCGAGGAGGCTTTCCAGATACTGAGTATGATGGATGAGAGTAGTGGGGAACTCTCTCTGTCAGACTCAGATTCTGAGTATGAGCCCGTTGAAAGCGGCGGGTCAGCAATGGATTCTGATGAGGAGGGAGTCCAAACAAAGAGGATCAAGAGATCTGAGGAGGAACAGGCATCCACCAGTAGTGCAGTGGTGAGTACAAGCAGCGCAACACTTCCAGACGATAGCAGCAGAATGTATTTTGGGGTGTAATTTTGGGTATGTACATGCTATGTGTTAGAAATATCTTATAAATGGACAACTCTTCGTAAAAAAAAAAAAATACTTTTTGTTTCCACATTTTCCGAAAACTTGTGAAAAAAAATGACATGTTCAGATCCCGACCTGCTTCAGCCCTGGCAGACTGATCATACCAAAACTCTCAAACGACGCAGTCGCGCGCTGGAGCGACTATGGCGCAAAACCAGATCCCAACTAGCGTTCACCCGATATAAATCTGCATTCCACACCTACACCTCCTCCCTCCACGCTGCCAAACAAGCCTACTTTCTGACCCTCCTCAATACCCTCTCCTCCAATCCTCGCCGACTCTTCTCTATCTTCAACTCCCTACTCTCTCCGCCCCCACCTCCACCCAGTACCTCACTCACCGCCCACGAGATTGCCAATCACTTCAAAAACAAGATTGACACAATGCGCAGGGACATCGCCGCTGCTCAGACTTCCACCCCACCTATCACCTCTCACACGGTAACCCCCTCAACACCCCTCTCCCTTGGCCTCACCACTGTCCAGACCTCCACCCCACCTAATATCCCTCACACTGAAGCCCCCTCAACACTCCACTTCTTCGACCTTACTCCCACTGAGGAGGTCACTAAGGTCTTCTCTGAAGCCCGCCTCACCACCTGCCCCCTCGACCCTGTCCCCTCACAACTCCTACGATCTCCCTCCTCCTCCATCCTACGCTCCCTCACACAAAACATCTTTAATCTCTCCCTCTCTTCTGGCGTATTCCCCTCCCCTCTGAAGCACGTGCACATCACTCCCATACTTAAAAAGCCCTCCCTGGACCCCACCGACCTGAACAACCTTAGACCCATCTCCCTGCTGCCATTTACATCCAAACTCCTTGAGCGCTTAGTCTATAATCCCCTAAGCTCCCACCTCAATGACAACAACCTCCTTGATCCCCTACAGTCCGGCTTCCGTCCCCTACACTCCACCGAAACTGCCTTACTCAAACTCACCAACAACCTGCTAACCGCCAAAGCTAATGGCCACTATTCAGTGCTCCTACTCCTCGACCTCTCTGCGGCTTTCGACACAGTCGACCACCCCCCCTCTTCCTCAAAAAACGACACTCCCTTGGCCTCAGAGACTCCACTCTCTCCTGGCTCTCGTCCTACCTATCACAACGCTCATACAGTGTTACCTTCCCCCTCACTCCCCCTCTCTGTTGGGGTCCCTCAAGGCTCGGTCCTCGGGCCCCTTCTCTTCTCCATCTACACCTCCTCCCTTGGCCAACTGATACACTCTCACGGCTTCAACTACCACCTCTAAGCCGATGACACGCAAATCTATCACTCGACCCCCCCTCGCCTCACCCCTTCAGTCTCCACCCGAATCACACACCTACTGAGCGACATATCAGACTGGATGTCGCTCCACTTCCTTAAACTGAACCTCTCCAAAACCGAGCTCCTAGTTTTCCCCCCAGCCCCACCCCCCCCCCCCCCCGACTTCTCCATCACGACCAACAATGCCACCATCAGTCCCACCCCCGCAAGCCAGAGTACTTGGTGTCATTCTAGACTCCAATCTGTCCTTCCAGCCCCAAGTCCAATCACTAACAAACTCATGCAGACTCCACCTCCGCAACATCTCCAAACCCCGGAAACTACTAAGCAACTCAACCACTCCCTCATCATATCCTGACTCGATCACTGCAACTCCCTCCTCACTGGCCTGCCTCACCACAGGCTATCCCCGCTTCAGTCGATCCTGAATACGGTGGCCAGATTCATCCACCTTACCAACTGCTCCATTTCCGCTACCCCTCTCTGCCAATCCCTCCACTGGCTTCCGATTACCCAACGGATCAAATTCAAAATGCTAACACTGACGTACAAAGCTGTCCATAACTCTGCCCCAAACTACATCACCGACCTAATAGCCAAATACCACCCAAAACGCACTTTCCGCTCCTCACAAGACCTCCTTCTCTCTAGTTCCCTGGTCTCCTCCTCCCATGCCCGCCTCCAGGACTTCTCCAGGGCATCACCCATCCTATGGAACTCCCTACCCCAATCCATCAGACTATCACCTCCTCTCCTCTCCTTTAAGCGCACCCTGAAAACCCACCTCTTCAGGGAAGCCTACCCCGCCCTCTGCTAATTGCCGATCTCCTCCACTCTTCCTACCACTCCATCCCCCACAGCTATTCCTCCCGTACCACTATCCCCTCCCTCATAGATTGTAAGCTCCAAGGAGCAGGGTCCTCAAACCCCTCGTGTATCGCATTGTATTGTTATTGTACTGTCTCATGTATTGTCTCCCATTGTAATGTACAGTGCTGAGCGAACTGTTGGCGCTATATAAATACTGTATAATAATAATAATAATGTTCAAAAGTCTCATTATGCCTCATAGAATATACATTGGGATGTTTATTTTTAAAAATTTGGTCATTTTGTGGGTAATTCCATTGTCCTGGTGCTCCAGGGCCTTAAAAAATTTAATAGGTAGTCTGGAAATGAGATGTGTAATTTATGCCTCCAGAACGCCTGTAGGTACTACTTGGATGTTGGACCTCTGTATGTGGCCAGGCTGTGGAAAAGTCTTACACATGTGGTATCCCCTATTAATATAACAATTGTTATTGTTATTAATATAACAATTGTGTGAAAAAAAAAACAATTTACAGGTTCAAAAAACTCACCATGCATCTTACTAAATATCTTGGAATGTCTACTTTACAAAAAAGGGATCATTTGGTGGGTATTTGTACTGTCCTGGCTTGTTAGTATTTCAAGAACATCAATACATCAGGTTTGATCAGATGTGATCAATTTTCAATGATTGGTACCATAGCTTGTAGACTCTATAACTTTCACACAGACCAAATAATACACAGCAATTGGGATTATTTTTACCAAAGCAATGTAGCAGTATACATTTTGGCCCAAATTTATGAAGAAAAATTACTTATTTGCAAAATTTTATAACCAAAACAAGAAAAATGCGGGGGGTTTTTTTTTTTCAAACGTTTCAGTCTTTTTTAATTTATAGCGCAAAAAATTTTAAAAAACAGAGCTAATTAAATACTACCAAAAGAAAGCTCTATTTGTGTGAAAAAAGGACAAAATTCTCATTTGGGTACAGTGTTGCATGAGTGAGTAATTATCATTCAAAGTGTGAGAGCGCTGAAAGCTGAAAATTGGTCTGGGCAGGAAGGGGATAAAAGTGCTCGGTATTCAGTTAGTTAAACACTATAGGTACTTATTTTTAATGTTTTGCATAACTAAACCTGCAAAAGGGGCCAGCCTGAAGTTATCTAGCAAGATTTAATTCTCTGAATAAGTTCCACTTTAAGTATCTGTGATCCTGATGTGTGAATGTTTAATAATGGCTGTAGGTTTGATCATTGTTTGCTTCATGCTCCACTTTGAGATTATCCTGTTTTTCCCAGAATATCTGCTATAGCATTTCATAAAATAAGGTGTTATCTACACACACAGAAACATGTACACACATGCACAGAGACACATGTACACACACACACACATACAGACACATGTATACACACACAGGCACGTACATACACGCATACACACAGATACATGTACATACACAGAAATACACACGCACAGACACATGTACATACACACAGACACATGTACATGCATACACGGACACATGTACACACACAGACACATGTACGTACATACACACACATGTACATGCACACAGACACATGTACACACACACATGTACATACACGCAGACACATGTACTGATACACACATGTACATACACACAGACACATGTACAATTGTACAAGCATACACAGACACACACACACCCATAGAAAGTTGAAGTACTTCGTTGTTCACTCACAGATCCGGGTACTGCACTCTAGGGGGAGGCAGAGAGCACAGCACACACTCCTTGCTTTGCTTTCACTGTGCTCAGCTATTGAGCAGACTGACGGCTCAAAGTGCCAATGAAACATCCGGCCTTAGCTCCGAGCCTGCTCAGCAAGATGGCCCTGGCGGACACATTCGTCCCCACCATAATTTCCACTCGCCATTGGCGAGCAGGTGAGTGGAAATTTCAAGCCCTGATCTACATTATGTGAATATGCTGGTCCATTGGACATTTAGAGCAGCCTTTTTCAACCAGGGTGCCCAGGCCCTCTGAGGTGCCTTCATGTTATTTCAGTGTTGCTTTAGCAAATGCCTAAAAATAGGCCAAAAATTGTATACAAGCCAGCAGATGTATGAAACCTGCCTTTTTGTTACACACAGCCAGATGATTGTGCATCATTACAACATTCCAGCAACCAGCATCCTAACAACCAATGATGTCTTCATTTGATAAGGAGCATAGCAACCTTGTTTGCCCTTCCCATGCCTTTCTTACCAGCACTGGGCTCACATTAGCTGAATGAGGGAGAGAAACTGAGGGAGAAGAAGAAATGCTGGAATACTACCACGGGCGGACTGACAACTCATGGGGCCCCCGGGCAATAGGGGATCATGGGACCCCTGTGTCCTTGCCCAAACTCAAAAAAACCTATGAAAAAGGTGCCAGGGGCATCTCATGGGGCCACCTACTGACCCCAGGCCCTTGGGCAGTGCCCGAGTTTCCAAATGGTCAGTCCACCCCTGAATACTACTCAGTTCCAGTGTGCAAAGTTGTATTGCTTTGGAAGAATAAATCACCTCTGACGTTGGGTGTCCTACATGTATGGATGTTGCTGCGTTATGTAAAACTTTTAGTGTAGTTTTTTACATTTGATTATATTGGGGTGCCTTGAGATCATTTTAAAGGGTGCCTTGACTGAAAAAAAAACAGTTAAAAAAAAAAAACGATTTATATTGTTTTTTTCTTTGGACCCTACTATCTGTAAGTAGCTGCTTAAACGCTAAAACTACATCATGAAAAATACAAGCAATAGGAAAAAAAACTTAAATGACCCAACCAAAAACAAAGTTTGGGCCAGATTCATCTATTTTGTCTCTTCAAGGGGAGACACCTGGCAATGTTTTGCTAGTGTTTACACAGAGTCTGTACATAGAGTAATCTTACTAGCAGACATTACAAATGGGACACAAATCAAATACTTGGGAAAAAAATTATATCATCCTGGGCATACTTTATTATCATTTTTCATTCTTTATGTTTTCTTGTTCTTAGGCACAAATCATATTTTATTGCTTTTTATGCTACTCTTACGCTTACTCTCTTAAGTATATAACCATTTGGTAGGATGGCTTATTTTTAGGAGTGATTAGTATCTGTAGCACCTACTTAGATCCACAACTAATTTAAACCGATCAGTCATTCTTTGTTTAATGGAGATGACAAGTATTTGGCAAAGTAAAGCTGCTTGGAAATATACACTAGGTAATATTAACTATTATACATGATTTGGGTAGAAAAAGAAAGCTTGCAAAAGCCAACACACTCTCTTGATTCGCAAACGTGCACAGATTGCCAGCTGGCTGAAGACCTGTACTGGGTCCTATCACATAAGAGACCTCTCAGGAACATCACTCTAATGAAATCCAGATGCAGACAAGCAACTAAGTCCACTGAAGTCTTTAACTGTATAGAGTATGTGACTTGCTTAAATCATAGGCAGCTCCCTTGCCACCCACCATGAAGGAATTTGGATTTTTTGTCTTGTTTGACATGGTCATTAGGTCAAAACCAGCTGCTACTGGGCTCTGTAGTTAGTCTCTGAGGGCCATTGTCTATCTTTTTTTAAGGACTTTGTTATGAAGAAATACAACCTGCTCTGATTAGAATGGTCATTCCTTGATTCATGTGCCACATAGTAATTATCTGTCAGTGACTAGAGTAGACTTAGCTTTGTTGCCCAAGGACTATATTTGACATGTGAGTCAAGGATAAAATCTCTTTCCATCAATGCCTTCTCAAAAAGGCCTTTTCCTTTCAGATCATGGATTTTGATACTGAGGTACTCACTTGCTTTATGGTCTATGACAGTGGAGGCGGACCTATGGCACTCAGAGCCCTCTCGTGACTTGGCTCGTGTGCTGCAGCGGGCATGCAGAGCACTCTCTGTTGGCATGCGAGCCAAGTCACCCCAGCAGCCAAGTATTGGATAACAGTGCAAATAGAGGCCATGCTTGGAAAGGAGTAGCAGCGCCAAGCGATGACATCACGAGCCGAGACTCATCCGAGCTTTCGCATGGCCGGTCAGTGCACTGCCAAGTATATATATATATTGGACTGGCTGTGAGTTTTAATACATTCATTTTTATTAACACACAAAATTTTAGCTTGTGCTGATGATCAGTGGAACTTTGCCCGCCTTGTGCTGGTGGTCAGTAGAACTTTGCCCCTCTGTGCTGGTGGTCAGTGGAACTTTGCCCCCTTGTGCTGGTGGTCAGTGGAACTTTGCCCCTCTGTGCTGGTGGTCAGTGGAACTTTGCCCCCTTGTGCTGGTGGTCAGTGGAACTTTGCCCCCCTTGTGCTGGTGGTCAGTAGAACTTTGTCCCCCTTGTGCTGGTGGTCAGTAGAACTTTGCCCCCTTGTGCTGGTGGTCAGTGGAACTTTGCCCCCTTGTGCTGGTGGTCAGTGGAACTTTGCCCCCTTGTGCTGGTGGTCAGTGGAACTTTGCCCCCTTGTGCTGGTGGTCAGTGGCAGCTCTGTTATTGTGTTTTTCTTTTAAGACAAAAGATGTTAATGTCTTGCTCCTGCTGTTGTCAGTCAAATGCTGTGACACAGGAGCAGGGGGTGCAGAGAGGGTGGCTCAGGAGTGAGCTAGTATGGGTGTCCCTATGGAGAGTGGCTTTCCATGGGGGTACCCACTGAAGAAGGGAAAGGAGCACTGGGGGGGACCCCAGAAGAGGAGGATCGAGGCTGCTCTGTACAAAAGCATTGCATAGAGAAGGTAAGTACAGACAAAAACAAAGGTTTAATATCACTTTAAGTTAACAAAATATGGTCATCTAAAGAAACATTTCTGCCTTGACCATATAGAGGAAAAACAAAATGACATTCCTATTGATACCTGTACTACAGAGGAGCAACTGTTTGAATACTTGGGCAAAGGACAGAAAATACAAAACGGCCACTCATTTCACTTACCTTTTGTGGAAAACAACTGATTGTAATCCAACAATATTATAGCCAGATCCAGGGGCGGACTGACCATTTGGAAACTCGGGCACTGCCCGAGGGCCTGGGGTCAGTAGGGGGCCCCATGAGATGCCCCTGGTACCTTTTTCGTAGGCTTTTTTGAGTTTGGGCAAGGACACAGGGGCTCCATGATCCCCTATTGCCCGGGGGCCCCATGAGTTGTCAGTCCGCCGTTGGCCAGATCTTTATTGGGCAGAACACAATTATCCTTAATCTAAAATTAGGACACTTAATCTTCATACTTATACACAGTGGAGACCCAGAAAAATAAAATGCTGTAAAAAAGATGCTTCTTTCTCTCTCTAATTGTCATGACAAATTAACAGAAAAATTAAAAAAAACATTTCCAACTCAAAGTGACACTTTTACTAAAAATATTTACTCACAGTGATGTATGACCCAACAAGATGTCTGCACATTCAGTTCAACCCAAAACACATAAATAGAAGAGAACAAAAAATCAATTTCATGTCTTTATAGTTGTAAGCATAATAATCTGATCTGCATACTAAACATAGTCGGCTCATTTATAAAGGGAAATTATATTCGTGGCATGGGATTTTTATACATTATTATTTATCTGTTGCATGCTCATTACACCCTTAGGTGTGCGGCAGCCTATAGCATTAGGGTGTGCACCCCAAAACTCCAACACACATGCATGTTTGTCGATATATATATATGTATAGTCAATGGAAGATCTTTCTCATCTCCCTGCTGGCACAGTGAAAGAATACTGTGGAAGCATTTCTCTTATGGTACAGATGGTCAGAGGGAGGTATTTTCTATTTCCCTGCTGGCACGCAGAGCAATAATACTAATGCACACAGAGTGATTAGGGTGTGCCCAGGCACATCCAGCACACCCCCCTGTGCAGGCCTATGGTTACAGTCATGTACATTGCTCTATGCACACTACATATCCCAGAATCCATAGTGTATAGTCACTAGCACATCTCAGGGAGTGAGCAAGAGAGGGTGGCTATGCTCTTACATACAGTGGGACCATGGACAACAGATGTAGCTACCCTCTACCAGGAAGTAAGAGCACAGCAGCTAAATAAAAGCAATTTGGAGATGGCAGAGAGCAATCGAAGGTACTTTTTTAAAGGTAACAATACATACTTGAATTTAATTTTTTTTAAACCTGAGTTCAGTGTCACTTTAATGTGGGAGCTCAGCTAATGCACAGGACCTCTTTTCTCTTTCTGTCCACAGGCAAACAGATTGGCAGGTAAGCATGCAGTAACTAAAGTCACGTCACATGACTTTACTGACAAATATGAGGTATGGAGCCAGGAAAAAAAAAAAATTGGCATTTCTAGGAGGGATTTGGTAAGTTCCTATGGATGATCATCATAATGGTCTTGGCTCACAGTACTCCAGGACATAGTGGTGCTCACACAATGCTGCTCCTTTCTAAGGACAGCCCACTCTCACTAAAAGAGAAGAGGAAAGCCCTAGGACAGCACTGGACTGGCCAGAAGGTTGTTGAATGTAAAGCAGAGTTCCTCCCAAAAGGGGAAGTTCCACTTTAATGCTTTGTCCCCCTCTCTCCATTAAGGATTGGCACCTTTGGGGAGCGGTTACCCGAATTTGACAGGTACCCGCTCCCACTTCCGCTGCTATTGCCTAGGCGATCGGAAGCGGAAGTTGTCCTCCCTCCCCGTAGTCTTCTGGGACACGTGACAGGTCCCAGAAGACTACGGGACCATTCACGAAGCGCAGCACTGTTCTCACGCATGCGCAGTGGGCACCTGGCTGTGAAGCCACAAGCTGTCACAACGGGAGCCCACACTGAAGATGCT